AAGCGATCCCACTATGCTGATGTTAAGCCCCGCAAGCTGTTACCATTTTTTCCAATAAAATATGTTCACAAACGTTCAAGAACAACTCCCACGCTCAAGAAGTAACATCATGACATATTAAAATAACATAATATTATATTAATTATATAACATTGTATGACAAATTAAACCCGTATAATTCATAGTAAATAATTGAGACAGTTCTCAAGACTCAAGTTGTTCACGAAGTAAAATAATATCATGTTGTGATGTCTGTGTGCATCATTAGCTACTTAATAATATATTATGTGGGTTTCGAGCTCATTTACACCCATATGACAATTAAAATGTTTTGTTTAAACATTGATTAGTTTTTCTATTTTGAAAACATCATCAGCCAGATTAAATCTCCAGGAAAATTCCAAAAAATATATAGCAATAAAGACTATTCAAAAATCCCATCACATCTCCGCAGCTCCGCAGTAGCCACAAAGAGATATCAAAAAAACCTAATTAAAATACCGATCGCCCTCAATACGGTGTAAAGCAAAAAACACATATAACGTTCGAAATTGAATTTCTCATCTCCGTCGGCTGTGGAAATTATTATGTCGACTGCAGCCACCGACCATCTTCAGGCTGCTCGATTGCTCAATTTATCTATATTGCTCTAGCGGTTAAGATTAAGTCGAAAACAGATGCGACAACCATTTGCGAAGTTGTATTTGATGGCACCTATACTAATATCATAAAGAGGAAAGATTTGTTTGTTTGTTTCTATTGAATAGGCTCAGAAACCACTGAACCGATTTGAAAAATCTTTCACTGTTTGGAAGCTACACTATTCCCGAGTGACATAGGCTATAATCTTTTTTTTTTTAAATTAGTGATCCTTACTAAAACTCCAAATTTAACCCAAGGTGTAAAAAAATCACCTAAAGTATTCTTTACATCGCGTGCCCTGCGAAAACTATTCATATAGAATAAAATAATGTACACGACTTTGTAGAACACATTATTACTTACAAAAAGTGTCGCGACAGCATATTATGTCTAACTATTATAGTTATGCCGCAATAAGTATTCTTTTATTTAAAAAATTAAAACAACGTCAAATATCGTTGAACCCGAGCGCAGCCGGAGCGGGCCGCTAGTTAATTCATAATAATAGAAACAGCGAATACAATATATTACGAAAGAGTATTAGTACAACACAGAGTTATATTTTTAATATCGCATCAACTTCAAAACATGAGCAGTCATCTTCCAGCGTCGACGTGGAATAGCAACCAGTGCGTTTCCAGAAGTTAAGTTCCATCCAGTGTCGGAATGACCTACCCTTTTTTTTTTTTAACGCTGGGGAATCCATTTACGGATACCCGGTCGAGAGGGGTAATAGATCGGGTTATGTCGGACTCCGACGCCTCCAGAGAAGAAGAGGGAGAAGAGGAAGACCAAAGTCCTCCTCTTCTTCCAATTCCTACCGGGAGACTATGCCTTGAGAAAGGCGCGCGAGGCGCTGCACGGCGTCTACCACGCAGGACCCGCCCCGCAAAACTGACTACCGACTAAACCCCATCGAGCTCCACCACTCCGACTCCACGAAACCTACGGTACCGCATAAAGCGCGCCGCAGGCTCGCCGTCGCCGGTACGGAATGAACTACCCTCCACTATGAACTTTCCTGTTGGTGGTTTTTTCAGAGGTAGACAGCGGCTCCGCTGCACTGGTGGAATTTCTGGTGTCTATGCAACTGTGTATCATTAAGTAGGTCGTCGGCCTTCCAATTGCCCGCCATTAAAAATTATTTTGTCGGTAGGGGCTTTCAACTGGTACTTGCTCGCCATTGAAAATAATTTTGTCGGTAGGTGCAAAAGAAAAAAAAGTAAACGAATATTGAGGTGTGTACGGTGTCGGCCGAGAATAACAAAGAGTTTTTTTTTGTTGCTTAGATGGGTGGACGAGCTCACAGCCCACCTGGTGCTAGGTGGTTACTGGAGCCCATAGCCATCTACAACGTAAATGCGCCACCCACATTGAGATATAAGTTCTAAGGTCTCAGTATAGTTACAACGGCTACCCCACTCTTCAAACCGAAACGCATTACTGCTTCACGGCAAAAATAGGCGGAGTGGTGTTACCTACCCATGCGAACTCACAAGAGGTTCTACCTCCAGTAATACCACCATGGTTCCCATGATGTCGTGATGGTGACTAAAGGATTAGTCAGAGAATGGGCAACGGCTTTATCCGAGTGTTATGATAGCAAGCTGCGATCCTATACCTGTATTTACTGGTGGTAGGGCGCAAACTAAACGCTACCATCAGCACTACCCAGCACGGGGTGACCCATGGCCCATCTAGTGTTAAGTGATTACCGGATCTTATAAATATCTAGAACGTGAATGCAGTCACCCATTTTCAGACATGAGCTCTATGTACCGATTTAATAGTAGAACGGCTGCTCTATCCGTCGAACAAACACGAATTACTGCTTCGTGGCGTAAATAAGCAGAGCGGTGGTACCTAACCCTGTGGACTCACAAGGCGTTAAACAAATTTAATTCCAGATCGTGTCTATAGATATTTTCGCATTTACGCTGTGAAATCTATAGGCTTTCGACACATGCTTATCTTCGAAGCTAATCTTTGTCTAGCTCTATCTTTTAAAAATGTATTTGCCCAAGTTCGCTTATAGATTTCTCGTATTTCCATCACATTAAGTCAAGGACCAAATTAAATAGCACTATTAAATATTATTGCGGCCGAGTAGTTGATGTATAAGGTCTATAGTCGCAATGTCTACAAGTCGAAGTCCTTAGCCGTAGGGAGGGAGGCAGACTTTACACTTACGTAAGTGATACAGTGAAGCGGTCTCTTGAAATAAATTGGCGGTCGGTAAATGTTCATAGAGTAAAAAACAGAACAGATAACATCAAGTTGAAGTTTTGTTGAATTGAATTTTATGTTTCTAAGAAAGAATAGAAATAAAAGCACGCATTTTGATAAATAAAAATAAGAGGAAATTATATTAATAAATTTCGTGTCAACACGCTAAATGTGATTNGTGATACAGTGAAGCGGTCTCTTGAAATAAATTGGCGGTCGGTAAATGTTCATAGAGTAAAAAACAGAACAGATAACATCAAGTTGAAGTTTTGTTGAATTGAATTTTATGTTTCTAAGAAAGAATAGAAATAAAAGCACGCATTTTGATAAATAAAAATAAGAGGAAATTATATTAATAAATTTCGTGTCAACACGCTAAATGTGATTCTCTACGATCGACCAAATTTACCGAGGGTTTGGGTATTCTTGTTATAACAGTATTAAATAAATTGAAACCTTGAACAAATTTATATTCTTCTTCTTTTTCTCCACCTTATCCCACTAGGTGGGGACGGCGCAGAGAATTTTTCTATTCCATTCTCTTCTGTCAGCCGTCATCACAACACTCAGTCCTCTCTCTCTCTCGTATTGTCCTTCACACACTCCATCTATGTATTCTTCGGTCGACCACTTCCCTCTCTATTTTACAATATAATATAAAAAAATTCTATTAAAAGTATGAATTATATAATATGCTTTTAAGTTTATTTTTTTCTTCTTCTTATTCATATTCAAACACTTGGAATGCCACCAGAGAAGGAACAAGACATGTCATTTTCTTTCATTCAGACATATATCAGAAGTATAATTAAGAGAGTCCATCCAAGCCGTACAACGTCAAAGCACCCCCTCCTCAGATTAATCCAGATCCTCCGTCTAGTTCTCTGTGCAGTATGATTATACTTTAACGTCAATGCCTGATAATATCTGTGCTAAATTGATGCTAATAATATGAATTCATATAGTGATTAACATAACGAATCATAGGGTGATTTCATATTGAGGAATGAAAGACTATTTAGTTTAAATGCCATTTCACTTAATACGCGACATTTATCTTTGTAATTAAATGTGCGTTTTATTTACTTAGTACTAGCTTTTGACCGCGACTCCGTCCGCGTGGAATAGTTAGCTTGGCATAACGCTAAATTTTACCCCCACTTCATTTACGTAGAAAGTGAAAATATTTTTGAAGGAGCTATTTAAACTCCTACTTTGAAACATTCTTTATTGGTGCTCCACCTGTGTTGGTCTTACCGTGATGTTATATAGCCTATAGCCTGTCTCAATAAATGGGCTATCTAACACTGAAAGAATTTTTCAAATCGGACCAGTAGTTCCTGAGATTAGCGCGCTCAAACAAACAAACTCTTCAGCTTTATAATTTTAGTATAGATTAGAATCAACAGTTCGATGTTTTTAATTGAGCTTCAATTAAATTTGTTCCATTAAAACGGCTAAAGAAGTTTTTTGTTATGACATTTTTTCCAAATTTTAATCTATATGTGGCTCTCCTGTAAAATTGCAAAAATGTCGCTTAAACCTAATAGTCTTTCACCAAAGACACATCAAAGGCAAAACAAAATTGTTATTTTTATTTAATTTCGAGCATTTTCATATTTATCTACCTTTTAAACCTTCTCTGCACATCCACAAATAATTCAAGACCATAATTAGCCAAATCGATCCAACCCTTGTCCAGTTTTAGCGAGACTAACGAACAGCAATTCATTTTCATGTACTTTAATAGATGTATTTTCTTTAATAATGAGCGTAATGGTTTGGTCTACCTACATAGACCACTCTAGATATTGTTAATATGTAGTACACCACAACATAGCTGCTGTATCTTTTTCAGAATCTCTGTAGATAATAGTGTTTTCTAGAAGATATTGCTTTTAGCGATAAGACCGCCTGTTGTACAATTATACCTACCTGTTGACTTCTACTGTTTGTTTCTGAATGTTAATTTTATTTTTGTGTGCAATAAACTATGTCCTCTCTCTTTCTCTCTCTAAATTCTTTATTCTTTATAATAATTCTTCAAGACAATTACGTTCACAAGCTTATCAAAAAAAATTACATAGCTTTTGAAACATCTTCCCATATCGCCAGTTTGGAACGGTAACCAACTAGTTAATTGGCCTTAACCTAAAATAAATTTTAAATATGATTAAAAACAATTTTACATATGGTTAAATGGGCTATATGATGATGACAATGATGTTTAATGTTTTCCCCTCCAATTGATATCAACCGACCATTATAGCATTACTTTCTTTGAATACATGAATTTAGGGAATCCATCCTTAGCTATTCAGTATCACTATCAGATTCTCTTAGCACACCTGTACAAATCATATTTTATATCTTAACTCTCCCCAATTTCCTGTCGTTTCTCGTTCCCTCCAAACTTTGCTAATGGTGGTAACACGTACAACTTACTCGAGAATACCACTCGAGTGAGTTGAACCACGAGGGTTCCACCTTACTACCACCGTGAAACTTTCGGGATTCCCCGTTTGGAGAACTAAAATTTGAGAATACTATTGTGATTTCTGATTATGTGCTCCAGTAACCATTCAATTCCAAACAGACCTTGAGCTTATTCCTACACCATAAAGCAAATGATAATTGAAGCACATGTGGAAATCGTTTATCCTCCAACCCAATCTCGACCGGCGTCCGGGTGGCAACTTGCGGGTCACTAACGTTAGTGAGGAGAGTATTAAGCGGTAGGCAGCGTCTTGGCTCTGCCCCTGGCATTGCTGAAATCCTGAAATCCATGGGCGACGGTGACCACTCACCATCAGGTGGGCCGTATGCTCGTCTGCCTACAAGTGCAATAAAAAAAAAAAGTTTTGTTAATTAACCCACCACTCGACGCCATATGTACCATGTTAAGCTGCATGGTCAAAAAGCAGACTGTCGTCATGACTTCATTAACCATGGATACGTACATGGTGGCAGGGGATTTTCCATCTACATCACCAACGAATCGCGATAGTGATAGCAATGCGGGAGAAATAGTCAAATTACAGGCAATAACTATAGAGATTTTAAGAATACGTACCCCTTGGTTGCCTCGATCCTATCGGCAATTTGGTCGGTAACATATTTTGGACTATTCTTGTATGCGTATAAAAATTGATGAGAGGCTCGTCGCTTTTTTATGAAGTGAGTACAATTATTTGCCATAACACATTTCGTGCCTTCAAGAAGTTGTTTAAAACTACCACTGAAATATGTACATACTTTATTTTATTTTATTTTTATTGCTTAGATGGATGGACGAGCTCACAGCCTACCTGGTGTTAAGTGGTTACTGGAGCCTATAGACATCTACAACGTTAATGCGCCACCCACCTCGAGATATAAGTTCTAAGATCTCAGTATAGTTACAACGGCTACCCCACCCTTCGAACCGAAACGCATAACTGCTTCACGGCGGAAATAGGCGGGGTGGTGGTACCTACCCGTGCGGAGTCCCAAGAGAGCCTACCACCAGTGAAAATTACATACATTTATTGCTTAGACGGGTGGTCACCGGATCTCGTAGACATTAACAACGTTAATGCCGGCAGCCGCTTTGAGAGGTCCGTTGTAAATTTCTGTTTTTTAAAGTTTTTTTTTTATTACCCTTGTAGGCAGAAATATACGGCCCACCTGATGGTGAGTGGTTACCGTCGCCCATGGACTTCAGCAATGCCAGGGGCAGAGCCAAGCCGCTGCCTACCGAGCCAATCCGCTGCCTACCGCTCCTACCTACCTACAACAGCTCCCCATCCACATACATAGCAACGGGTTGAGAACACAATGTGCTGTGAATACGAGAATACAGCTGCCTTTCCTTTGCGGCTAGGGGCATTATTCCAACTCTATACAAATTTGAGTTAACTTTTACGCGATTGAAAAGTTAAAAAACTCGCACTAAGCACACAGATCTCTCTCTCTCTCTCTCAATGGTATAGTGCATTGTAAGCTCTCACGGGTAGGTACCAACGTTTTTTCTATTTTGGCTGCGAATTAGCCATGCGTTTTGACTTGAAGAGCNTCTCTCTCTCTCTCTCTCTCTCTCTCTCTCTCTCTCAATGGTATAGTGCATTGTAAGCTCTCACGGGTAGGTACCAACGTTTTTTCTATTTTGGCTGCGAATTAGCCATGCGTTTTGGCTTGAAGAGCCACAATAAAATTGAGACTCCGATTTCAAATTACAAGGTGGGAGGCAGAGCTTACTTTGTGCTCCGCTAATCATTTTACAACAAGCTTTTTTTTATTGCCTTTGTAGGTAGACGAGCATACGACCCATATGTTGATAAGTAGTTAGCATCACTCATGGACGTCAGCAAAACCAGTGGCACAGCCAAGTCACTACCCAGTACACCACAGTGGTCTGTGAACTAAAATATTATGTTATCTCTAAATACTATGAACTGTCGATTATTTGTTAGGACCGGTATATTCAATATACATAATTTTACTGGTAAAAATGTCGACCTTACCCATACAATACAAAATTATTTTCTTTCTCGTCATAAACATTCGGTTCTGGGCCCCGTACCTTATTCAATAGCATTTTGAAATGAAAACCGAGTACTTCGAAGGCTGCAAGGCAAATATAATTATTATTGGTAATCCTACTATCATTCATACAAGTTAGGTCATACTTGTTCTAAAACATATCTTTCAAAAGGAATAAAAACTTAGGCTGTATCTCATTCTATTCACTAGTGGACTCGCATAGGTTGTCCACAGTTACCAGTCTCATGACTTATAACCAAATTAATCGCCATAGTCCCCGTGAGAGGTGAGGTTCTCCTTGTGCGATGTTAGAACGCCGCCTTTAATTTATATCTTCTTCTTCTCAGTCGTGTCACTCTTGACAGAGTGGTCGTGATCGTCATGTAGTGTTGGAAGGGGCAGACTTGATGCGTCTCACGATGTCGCGCCATCTCTCCCTGCTCGAGGCCATTCTACTGCACTCATTTAGGGGACCTCCGTTTTAATTTGGTCGGTCCACCGCATTGGTGGCCTCCCGCGCGATCTTGTACCATCAACGCTTCCCTGTACAACGAGGCGTTCTATGGACCGGCCATCTATAGACGTGTAAACGAGCACACGGCCTACCTGGTTCTAAATGGTCACCGGAGCCCATATACATATACTATGTAAATGCTGCCACCACCTTGAGACATAAGTTCTAACGCATTATTACTTCACGGCAGAAATAGGCAGGGTAGTGACACCTACCTGTGCGGATTCACGAGACATCCTACCATTAAAGACATTTGAAGGCAAATAGCAAGCATGTGCTGGCCTGTGTTACGAGCAGGAAGCAACCGAAATGGTTCAACGTTAGAGCGTCTAATAGTAACTAAAGCTTCCGCGACACTGCGTTCTATGGAATCAAGCGGTCAGTATGACTTTCTTAATATAGGGTGTGGTAACAGTTGTTTTTTGTAATCTACGAGAGACAAAGCTTTAGTTTACTCGACTGCCCAAAATAGAAACATTACAGCGTGAATATCACCAACCAGTTTGAGTGAAAGTCCCAATAATGTTGTACAGTCCTAGTCCCACCCTCGAGGGGATGCATGACTCCTTTGTTACAAAAATTTGTTCCTACCCATTAGCAGCGCTTAGGTAAGCGGATCCGAAAAAAAACCTGATACTAGTAACTATTTTAACTTTCATCATCATCATCATCATCATCAGCCTATAGCAGTCCACTGCTGTACATAGACCTCTCCAATTGCTCGCCACTGAGCATGATCCTCTGTTTCTCTCATCCAGCCATTACCAGCCACCCTGTACAGATCGTCACTCCACCGAGTCTGAGGGCGTCTTGCACTATGTTTCCCAATTCGCGGTCTCCACTCAAAAACTTTTACTCTTACTTGTGGTAGGACCTCTTGCTTACTGGTGGTAGGACCTCCTGTGAGTCCGCACGGGTAGGTACCACCGCCTTGCCTATTTCTGCCGTGAAGCAGTAATGCGTTTCGGCTTGAAGGGTGGGGCAGCCGTTGTAATTATACTGACACCTTAGAACTTATATCTTAAGGTGGCTGGCGCATTTATGCTGTAGATGTCTATGGGCTCCAGTGACCACTTAACACCAGGTGGGCTGTGAACTCTTCCACCCAACAAAGCAATAATTTTTTTTAAAAAAGATCAAGCACTTTAACTTTATATATCCCAAAAATAGCTAAAGCTACTTACACGAAATATAGACATTAGGTTTACTGGTCACATCCACGATGAGATCAACGTTCTTCTCATCAACTTGGGTGTTCATATTCCAGCAGTACAGATGCGTTCTGTTCTTATTTGAGAATATCAGAATGTCAGAATCGAAGTTCCAATCAAAAAGCACTCCATGGGGATAAGTTTCGTCATTGGTCTGTAATGAATTTGAGGGCTATTTATTTATTATTTTTCCATTCGTAGCTTCGTCTCCATGGTATATCTTTATATCGTATACACAGGCGAAGAACCACGTTCAAGAGATAAAATGTACCTTAAATTATTTCCGGGGATTCAAATTATTTCCATACCGAGTTTAGTCTAAATTGATTTAGTGACTTTTAATATTTTAACATTATTAGCGCTTATAATTGTATATTGGTCTTAACGCCTGTATTATTTTCCAGTCAACTTTTAAAGTCCTCGTAGCCTAAAGTAATATATAAATAAGTAGTATAAGACGGCCTATGCAGTGCATATCGATCGATGCGACCGTGCCGGTGTTCGAATCCCGCAGGCGGGTACCAATTTTTCTAATGAAATACATACTTACTTAGCAAGTGCTCACGAATGACTTTCACGGTGAAGGAATAACATCCGTGTAATAAAAACCAAACCCGTAAAATTATAATTTGCGTAACACTGGGGGGTAGGGCGTCTTGTGATTTCGCACGGGTAGCTACTACCGCGCTGCCCATTTGCAGAATGGAGCAACCGTTCTACTATAAAACTGACACTTAGATATATCTCAAAGTGTGCGGCGGCATTTACGTTGTTGATGTCCATGGACTCCGCGGTATACCCTTAAAACCAAGTGGGCTGAGAACTCATCCAACCATTTAGACAATAATTTAAGAACAAGGCTGAAACAAGATAGATCATAGTGGAATTGTGTTTCAGCTAATCCTACATCATTTTAATAGCAAAGAATCACTCCGTGTCTTACCCATAGGCGACGTAAAAGCAACTCAGGGATTCCTATAAAATGGACAGCAGCGGTTTCTGCACTGCGTATCATGATTGGCTATCACAATTTACTGATAGATGACGTATTGTAAGTCCCCAGCTCTATTATCGTAAAACGGTTATCGAACCTTATCGGCAACGGTACCATCACATGCCATCAGTAAGACCGAATTCTGCACCTTATTGCATATCACGTCCCCTCACGTGTTGGAGCCTGAGCAACAAGTTTTGAGAGTATCTTTTTTATGTTGATTTACGGGTGCTTGGACAAAATGGAGACAGCAATTTGCGAAGATCCAAAATGTATCCATTTTTATCTTTTCTTTTTTGCGTTTGTGGTGTATTTGATATTCCTATACAACGCCGCTCTATACTCTCAAACTGTTTCGTCATTACATGGTATTTACGTTATAGGGTGTTACCTCCGATTTCTGGGTAGGGACCAAATCACCGTTAGAAGTGCTTTGCGAATTCAAAAACGCATAGTAATGTTCAAAAGTCTCTTTCGGTGTATTCCTATATCTTATAACGTTCTGTACAAAATTTACTATAGAAGCTGTAATAAAAGAAAAATCAGTTATAAGTATGTTTGGGTTTGGAGGCAATAGCTGTTAGTTCAATTGGTACTCTAAGCTCTTTTTAATTAGCATAAGAGCATCGGCCCATCTGAAGACAATAGCAATTCTAGGAGCACTACCAAACCACTCCCTACTGCTGATATTTCAGAGATACATTCAGAATGAGATGCCTATAGACTGTAGTAGCAGTGAACATAATGAGATATGTATGGTCCATTGAACGTATTCACAATTAAACTAGTATTGATCAAAAGACAAAAGACCAAAAGACCATCTTTAAAAAAAACAATTGATTTGTGAACAGACCAATGCTTTGATTTAACGTCATTACTAAGCTCTCATGCTTAATAAGCTCATGCTTAATAACTAATAAAACTAATTTCAATTAAGTATTGACTTGCTGATTAAGAAAAATAATGTACACCACATAGTCACAGCCGTTATAATGTAGATTAGCGGACATTTCAAAATCACTTAAAGAACCATTTATAATCATTTAAAATTTTATGACTTGAGAGACGGTTTTTTTCTATGGTATTTACTTCCGTCATATCTACGGGTGTATGTGACTCGTAATACCATGGGGGTTGTGATTTTGTCGTATAATCAATAAAATTACTTACAAGGTACAGGAAAACTCCACGCTTCACCCTCAGCAGAACGGTTGATTTTATGAAACCGTTTGTCTTCCAAAGAAAACGTTATGATTGTGTTTGCATATTCATCGCTGATGTACACATATGCCAGATCGCATGGGTAAATGAAGTCCACAATTAAGGACTTAAGGCCTGAGAGCAAAAGGATTTAAAAGTTTTTTTTTTATCTGTGAAACTGATCACGAGTAGATTTTGAATTTTCGTTTCCAACTAATCCTAAATCGTAACCATGTAAGAAATTCATAAGAAAATAGACTGTGATAACTGGCCTCAACGTTTAAAGGACTGTATTGCAGCCAATGGAGAACACTTCAAAAACGCTTTTATATTTTAAATTGTTTTATATTTATGTATTAAACTAACACACTGTAAAAGTAATAAATGTTATTTGCAATAGATTTTATTTTTATTTTTATTGTAACAATATTTATAGCCAGACTAAGTATGTTATGCTATATAACAAATACACATTGTGCGTATATATCCAATGAATTTTGATAGTGTTCAAGGTAATATTTATGCATTTTTATTAATTCCAAATAATGGACACAATCACCAGGCCAGTGAAAAACCTTCCCTTTGATAATAATTTGTCAACGCATTTCTAAAACATTCAAAATTAATTACAATAAATAATATTTTTACCTGATGTTACTCCATCTTGCAAAACATTCGAGTCTATTATATACCTGTGAAACACCCCGTTGAATGACGCATAAGCCAAAATCTCGGCTGGTTTCACCTGCTTTTTGGCTCCTGCGATAAATAAACTATAATGTTAAAAGTTCTCCAAGGTCCTCACTCTAAAACTTTGTCTGCTTTTATAGACATGCTTTTATGGATGGAAAACGGATGTGAAAAATTAAAAAGTGCAGTATTGGCTGAAAATTACAACTAATCCAAAACCCGTTCTAAGTTGTGAAGGTTCGTGAGGCGGAGGGGTTTGATTAAATTTAATAAAGTACACTTTTTTGTAGAAAATTACGTGGAGATAAAGCTTAGAATAGTGCACTGGTGCCAAGAAGAAGTCTTGTCGCGCTGCAGAGGAAGAATATTTGCCTTATAAGAAACCTGGCCCTAGCAGCTCGTGTCCTCGTGGCCTAAGGGATAAGAAGTCCGGTGCATTCGTATCTAGCGATGCACCGGTGTTCGAATCCGAGACGGGTACCAATTTTTCTATGAAATACGCACTCAACAAATGCTCATCATTGACTTCCACGGTGAAGGAATAGCATCGTGTAATAAAAAATCAAATCCGCAAAATTATAATTTGCGTAATTACTGGTGGTAGGACATCTTGTGAGTCCACGTCGGGTTAGTACCACCACCCTGCCTGCTTTTGCCGTGAAGCAGTAATGCGTTTCTGTTTGAAGGGTGGGGCAGCCGTTGTGACTATACTGAAACCTTAGAACTTAGAACTAGAACCTCAAGGTGGTGGCGCATTTACGTCGTAGATGTCTTATGGGCTCCAGTAACCACTTAGAGCAACTGAAAGGAATACCTTGAGATTTTGACCCGGCAGAGGTTTAATCCAATACACCTCCCTACGCATTCTGAAAATCGATCTTCTTTTGCGAAGAGGATGCATTCTTAAATGATCATCCCACGGTAAAAAGAATGTATCAGCAAGTATTATAAGCTCTATTTTCTAGTATGGTCATTTATTAGATTGACGCTGATCAAATAAATGACCCTAATACACTCGGCTGAGAGCACCGCTATGTAATCTTTTTTATCGACTTACTCGTAAACTAGAATCTCAATAAACGTATGGATTTTGAGAGTAGATATAAATATTAGCCTATCCATTAAGTTTATGTATTTTCTACATGGATACCAATTTTCAAGTCAATCGGATGCACGGTTCAGTAGTTATAACGGCACATGCGTAAAAACCACTGTAGATTTATATATTAGTATAGATAAACTATGAGTAATCTTAAATCGTAATGGCTGACCTTCAGTCGACTTGTACGCTCTTCGACAAAAACACAGACACAAGCATACATACCAGGTATATCAATGAAACCAGTATCGACGAACCAGACTAATCTTCTGCAACCGCTCTGATGTAAACCGTATACGGAAATTATTTCTCTGGACTCCTTTGTGCTAGGATACGGATTAATGAGCGGACTTCCTGCTTGTAAGAAATCCAATGTGTAATAATTAAGACTAAAAGGTATTCCTGTAACGGGATAAACAAAATTTAATCACAGATAATATCGCCCAAGAATATTTAGCAATATAGCCTCGCTCAGTTAAAGAGTTGTAAGTTGTTTTTTTTTATTGCTCAGATGGACGGACGAGCTCACAGCCTGGTATTAAGTGGTTACTGGAGCCCATAAACATCTACAACGTAAATGCGCTACCCATCTTGAGATATAAGTTCTAAGGTCTCAAGTATAGTTACAACGGTTGCCTCACCCTTCGAACCGAAACGCATTACTGCTTTACGGCAGAAATAGGCAGGGTGGTGGTACCTACCCGCGCGGACTCACAAGAGGTCCTACCACCAGTTAAAGTGTGACCGAATTCAGTAATCAAAAAGACGTGTGGCACTCTGAGACTGCCGCGGTAAAGCTATTGCATAGCATTTTTTATCAACTTATTGCAATTATAAATCGACAATAATACTTTAAAATTAAAACAACAATAAAATAAGATCCGGCGAGAAACTCAGTGGGCTAACTTTCAATGAATCTACTACATTGTGAGTATTCCATTTTGAACGCGTACTCACTAGAGGGCGCTACATGGGATAGAGACACGCCTTTGGATGCTAGTTCTAACTCTCATTCGCCGAGGATCAACGGTTTAGCTAGTTTATTTTTAATGCCACTCCAATCACTGAATGAGTTGTAGGAGGAGTAATAAAATTCTTCGACTAAGCGATAGAAAATGGCACGCCCAACGCATTGTAATGTAATGTAATTTTCTATTTTACAGTTCCGTTTGTCGCCGATAGATGGCGCTTGACACAAAAGCTGAATCGCTCTATCGTTGTATTACCCACGAAATTATATCACATAATTTGATAGTACATAAATCGGTGTTTAGACTTCTTACTTTAAACACTACACAAGCGCAACGTGTGAATGTGTTGAACGCGAGCTACGTAGTAGGCGTAGTGAGGGGTGGAAAGTTTTTTTCGTTACGGAATTTCACGATTCCGCTCTCAAGCCACGCTCAAGGTCCGCGATAAAATCTATGCAATAGCTTAAAAATATTACGCATCATTATCAAAAATCAAACTACCGCTAATGCAGTCGTACAAGCTCCATACAGGAACGGGACTATTTGAGTACTAGCCAAATTACAAAGACATATATGGCCGTTTCTGGCACTAAATTTGAGACTTCGATCTAATGGCATGAGAAGGAAGCTTCGGCAACTACTAAAGTCCGGCAGGCCTGTTAAAGCGAATATCATGATTTCTTAATACTTACAATGCTTATATTACCTGGTCTTGTTCTCGGTATGCTAAAAATTATATAACGCGTTGTGTCGATCGCCGAGTACGGTACCAAGTTTTTTCTAATTAAAAACTTTTCATGATCCTCCAGATCCTCATCAAACGTGATCGCGCCATCTTTTAATTCGTAATCTGAATCTTCTGAATCTACAATAAATTCGTTGTTCTACAACAAAACTGTGGAGCCAAGTAGTCGTGAAACCTTGGGCACATTTATATTGTTGTATTCAATTCCTAGCTTCTATAGTGGTAGGGCACATTATGAAAACGCACAAGTAACTACACCTTTTTACTGGTGGTAGGACCTCTTGTGAGTCTGCACAGGTAGGTACCACCGCCCTGCCTATTTCTGCCGTGAAGCAGTATTGCGGTTCGGTTTGAAGGGTGGGGCAGCCGTTGTAACTATACTGAGACCTTAGAACTTATATATCAAGGTGGGTGGCGCATTTACGTTGTAGTTGTCTATGGGCTCCAGTAACCACTTAACATCAGGTGGGCTGTGAGCTCGTCCACCAAAAAAAAAAAAACACCTGTCTAACAGGGAGCACTCATTTGTTCCAGCTTAAATGGTGGATTAGCAATGATACATACTTGAGAATCCAGCCTCACATCTTCAATCTTATGATTACGTACGGCACTTATATTTTGATGTATAGGGATTCCAATTACTCCTAATACAAGGCGGATTTTAAAATTGAATAGAAATGAACGAAAAAAAAAAAAAAATTAAGTTGATGAAACTCACACTGCACCCCGTCGATATCATATGTGAACAATTTCCAAGAAGCCTCAGGATCTAAGGTATATGAAGAGCACTGAATTGTAAACACCAATAAATTTATAGTTAATATTAAAGTTGTCATTTCGACAGAAAACTTAACACGATTGCGGTCGCTATGAGACTGGTCTTACTTGTTTTCCTCAAGGAAAACGTAACATCATAAAAAATTAATCATTCAGAAATTGGAGTTTTAAAATACTTGTAATAATAGTTTTTTGTTAGCGACCGCGTACCGAAAGACGCAACGTGGGTAGGCCTCGCACAAGATGGTCCGACGTCTTATTAAGGTTCGCGGGGACCCATTGGATGTAGGCAGCGCAGGACCGATCTTTGTGGCGAGGCTTGGGGCAGGTCTATGTCTAGCAATGGACGTCTGTGGACTGATAGAATAAAATAAACTTGCAGTGCTTATAGTTCGGCGCTTTCCTCTCATTTACAGCTGCTTTGTTCATATATAGTTTAACATCGCACCATCCACCATCGCAGGTAGTGATCGATCAAACTAGAACCACTTTTTGCCACGTACCATCCGGCTATGGAATGAGCTCCTCTCCACGGTGTTTCCCTAGCGCTATGACATGTCCTTCTTCAAACAAGGCTTGTGGAGAGTATTAAGCAGTAAGCAGTGGCTTGGCTCTGGCCCTGGCATTGCTGAAGTCCATGGGCGACGGTAACCACTTACCGTCAGGTGGGCCCTATGCTCGTCTGCCTACAAGGGCAATAAAAAAAACTGACCTTTTATGCTACGTATAATTTGGCTCGGGAATGAAATACCTCCACGATGTTTCCTCTGCGGTCATGTCTTTCAAATGAGTATTTAGAGTCTCAGCTATGGCAAATGGCAATCCTTAGTATCGCTGACCAATTATCAGCTCGATTCAGCTCTATATTTGGTCGAAATCATAAAATAGTTACTGTTTTCAGTTTAACTGTACCTTAATTGCATAATCTTAATAATTTAGATAGATTAATTTTGTACAAAATAGGCATAAAGAGAGCCCCTCACAGGTATGCAGCGGTTTGGATGCTTCACTGGTGTAGGCGACACATATCAATATTTTAATTATTTATTTAGTTACATTTAGAATTATGTATTTTATAACAGTGTACATGTTTTCATTGTTAATTATGATTCACGTTTATTTCTTTAATAAATACACGAGCGCACCCGATCGTCAACGATGGTCTGAAGAACTGTGGCATTTTTTAATACTGGTGGTAGGACCTCTTGTGAGTCCGCGCGGGTGGGTACCACCACCCTACCTATTTCTGCCGTGAAGCAGTAATGCGTTTCGGTTTGAAGGATGGGGCAGCTGTTGTAACTATACATGAGACCTTAGAACTTGTATCTCAAGGTGGGTAGCGCATTTACGTTGTGGATGTCTATGGGCTCCAGTAACCACTTAACACCAGGTGGGCTGTGAGCTCTTCCACCCATCTAAGCAATAAAAAAAAAAGAAAAAAAAAGTCAGTCGGGCAGATACATCGGCACCGCGCGAACGACAATCAGACGCGCTCATATCTCAGTAAAATCTCGTCTTTTATTTACATCGCCTACAACTGGTATTTTTGATGTCATGCGACGATGATCACTCAGTATAAAGTCCACCACTCTACGATTTTATGCAACTTTGGTGCAAACCTTGCCATGCCACTACTCTAAACCACATAGGCCCTTAAGAGATAATCTCCCCTCTCTAAAGTCTCTCTCACTCTCTAGTATTTCCCTAGGGCTATTACGAGCCTGAGTGAATTGACATTGCCCCTGGAATTCGTTGGTGCCCACGAATGAACATTAGTAATCAGATGGTGGTAGAACCTCTTGTGAGTCCGCGCGGATAGGTACCACCACCCCGCCTATTTCTGCCGTGAAGCAGTAATTCGTTTTGGTTTGAAGGGTGGGGCAGCCGTTGTAACTATACTGACACCTTAGAACTTATCTCTCAAGGTGGGTGGCGCATTTACATTGTAGATGTCTATGGGATCCAGTAACCACTTAACACCAGGTGGGCTGTGAGCTCGTCCACCTATCTAAGCAATAAAAAAAAAATCGATTAAAAAAAAAGGACTTACACGTCACGTTTTTAATTATGTACCCAAACAGTATCCAGTAACCTTCCAGCTTCACTGATTTGGACAAACACTGCAATTCACCAATGCTCAACACAATTAATAAACAAACAGATTTAATCATTTTGTATAAGCGACTTTGATACGACTTCGTTCCTTTTGAGACTGTATTGGAAATGCTATCCGCAGACAAAACAAGTTTGACTTGAGGAAAACATCGAATTTACTTTGTTTGGAGGAGGATATGTTAATTTTTATTTCTTTATCAAACAAAGTCTCTAACGTCACGAAAATGAGACTCGTCCGAACCTTAGTTTTCTACGGGGCAGAGTCCTGGACAGTTAGGGCATCCGAGCGCAAGAAAATAAACGCATTTGAAATTTGGTACTGGAAACGAATGCTCCGAATTCCGTGGACGGCCAAGAGGACAAATAAATCTATCCTGGATCAGCTTCGCATCCGAGTCAGGCTCTCAACAATCTGTTACCAGAGGATCCTCAGCTACTTCGGTCATATTGCCCGCCGACAGTCAGATAACTTGGACAAAGTGATTGTGACGGGCAAAGTAGAAGGACAGAGACCCCGCGGCCGATTACCTAGCCGTTGGTGTGATCAAGTAACCGCTCTAACTGGGTTGCCAGTCGCAACCGCCATTCGAGCAGCTGAGGACTGGACGAGATGGAAACAGCTCACGAGACAGGCAACGGTCAAGTTTCAGGGACACGACCTTCAGCAATGAAGAAAACGACGAAGAAGAAGATCAAACAAAAAAACTAAATTGAATAGAAACTTGGGCTTTACGTGCGTTTTTGATGTGACAAGAAGTGACAAGGTACGGTACGGCAGAGGAAATCAGCACAATCAATCAATCCCACGCGGTTTTGATATTTAAATAATCGCTGACTTTACAATGGCAATTGTTAATTTCACCACCAACAACACCACATACGAAAAGTTAATTGTGTATATCGCCGCAACAGAAATGCAAACAAACAGACAAAAGTTTGATTTATAGAAAGCCAAGTCTCATTCACGATTCTTTGACTACAGTAGGTGAACAAACACATTTTTTTTTGGCCCGTGCAGGCAGACGAGCATACGGCCCACCTGATGGTAAGTAGTTACCGTTGCTCATGGTCGTCAACAATGATAGGGGCAAGCCAAGCCGCTGCCTACCATTTAATACTCTCCACAGGTTTCGTTTGAAGAAGGAAATGTCATATGGGTCGAGAAACACTGTGGCTCATTCCAAAGCATTTCACAAGTTTCCTGGTGTTAATTGGCTACCGAAGCCAACAGATATATTTTTTTTTTGCTAATATGTGTGGACGAGCTTACACCTGGTGTTAAGTGGTTACTAGAGCCCATAGACATATACAACGTAAATGCGCCACACACCTTGAGATATAAGTTCTAAGGTCTCAGTATAGTTACAACGGCTGCCCCACCCTTCAAACCGACACGCATTACTGTTTCACGGCAGATATAGGCAGGGTGGTGGTTACCTACCCGTGCGGACTCACAAGAGGTCCTACCACCAGTAACCAGATGTCATAACCTGATTACCTTGAGACATGAGGTCGATGTTTCAATTACACAAATACTCGGCAGAAATAGGCAGAGTCATCAATCTCGTATCTATGAGTCCAAAAGCAAAAAAAGTACAAAAACATGACTCATTCAAAATGTCACAACAGCAAGAACCAATACGACCGCAAGAGTACGGGCACACATGCTGCGACCGGGTTTCGCTCATAAATCGCTAGCTGAATACCCGGATTTTAGCCGGGTATTACCGGGTACTTTGTGGCTTTCAACCGGACAATATTTCCCCAGCCTTTTGTAGGCCCCGCGTCGCTTCAAGTTATACCACGTCTTTTATTGGAGCCCGATATGTTTTGTGATAGGATTTTATCTTGTTTGTTTGGTTGTTGGAAAACTGATTTGGCATTGAAAGGGAGATATTTTTATCTGAAAATATGCGATTATAAAAATATGATATCTTTTCCAAAGTTCTTATTTTCCTTTTTACGTTAAAGTTTGACAAACTATAGACGTTAAATAAGATTTAGTTAAAGTGTATTTCACTATAAGATTCACTAAAGATAATGTAGATAATGGTATGGTTTTTTTTGAATATAGGGATGTACTAAGTGAGTTTTTTTTTGTTATTGCCCTTGTAGGCAGACGAGCATACGGCCCACCTGATGGTGAGTGGTTACCGTCGCCCATGGACTTCAGCAATGCCAGGGGCAGAGCCAAGCCGCTGCCTACCGTTGGGTACTCTCCACAAACCTCGTTTGAAGAAGGACAAGTCATAGCACTCGAGAAACACCGCGGAGAGGAGCTTATTCCAAAGCGGGATGGGTACGTGACAAAAAAGATCTCTGGAAACGCAGTGTGGATGAATGCAGTGGCTCCAGGTAGTATGGATGAACTCCACTGAAAACTAGATGATGGAATAATTCCTTAGAGCACTCCCCATGGAACATGCGGTACAAAATGCAGAGAGAAACGAAGACCCTCCGCAGACCCAGAGGTTCCAAACGATCCGTGAGAACGGGATTATCGACAATCCGAACGGCCCTCTTCTGTATGGAGTCAAAGTGTGGCGTACGTTCCATGAATTTTGTCATTAAAGCCTAATACGAGTTATATTTCTCAGAAAATCCGAAGGGAGATTGATAAGAACCTCATGAAAGTTTGATTAAACTTGCGTCTGCACTAGATCGTATCGTAAAAGAGTAAATAATTACGACTTTAACTTTTTTTATTGCTTGGAAGCTTTAATAAGCCCACGGCCTTAGATTCCATCATCCTGATTCCCCATTCGTAAATACGTGTTAAGTAATGTACGTATTTCTTTATTATATTTACCTTTTTCTCTAACATTATTTGTAACACGATGCGTCTCATGATGATTGCTGCATTGTATGCATAAATAATAAATAACAAATCACAAACGATCATCCGGGCCTAAGCCAGGATTCCCTGTGTTATAGGTACCAGAGACTGACATAAATACTTATATACG